CTTGTATTTCAGTATAGATATACGTGTCTCTCACATATAGTGCAAATCCACCGCACTTTTTGTTCTTTCTATTTTACTTGAACAGGTTGAATCCATCAATTGTAGATTTCTTGTCATGAGTCATCCCACCAAGTTTCAGTTATTCCTGTAAGATTGTAATTGCCCTTGTGTACTATGAGCTCAAAGGCTGTGTCGTTTGTTTCCCATACTCTGGGAATTGGTCTAGAGACATTGACGTTCATTCTTACTGTGCCCTGGTTTTCTTCCTCCATTTTTGGGAGACTGGTGTTGGGCCCTGCTTGAGGTTTTTTCTATGTTGAAATATGTAAGTCTTTGTCAAGTAATGGTGTGCCATGCTGCACAACTCTGTCCCCTATATGTTTTATTTAAAGCTGCCTTGATGAACTTTTTCATGAAGTGGTCTTTACATTCTTTGTAAGGTTTGGCCCATCATTTGCCAATAGTCTATCTCCTAGGAACCTTGACTTGTGTTCCCAGAATCCAAATCTCTCTATGGCACCACCATCTTAACCAGTCATTCACTTGAAGGATGTTTCTTTCCGGAACAGTTTCTCTTCTGTGTACTGGTAAGACTGGGGAGAAGACTAACTCGGCCCCAGTGTTTTTGATTTTCGTTCCTAGAGCTTTGAAGTCTGATTTTATTTCATCAAAGGCAGCGTTGTTATTTCCCACATGGAAGAGAAGGAAGGGGTATTTGTCAGTGGGTTGTAAAAGTTGTGTGAACTTGTTGTTTACATCTTTAATCTTGGCACCAGGGAGACGGCATACTTGGCAATTCTCTGGCTTGTTGCAAAATACATATTTTTCCAACTTGCACAACAGGGAATCTCCCACAACTAGCACTCTTCTCCTTTTGTTGTTGCAAACTTTGGTATCTTTTCCTTTCTTGATTGGCCTTTTGTTTCTTTTTCAGTGAATCATGTAGTTCTTTCATGGTGAATTCCTCACACCTCTCTTCCTCAAGTACAACCTAAAGTGGTTCGAGAGTTACACTGCTTCCCAGAGTGTCTTCCAGGTCTTCTAGGCGTTCCTGGCGAGAAACATTATCCCCTTAGGTCATCCTGCTGTTTAAAATGTCTCAGTGGGGTGCCTACTCTCAACAATTTGTCATCCTTGGAGCAGCCTTGGGTGCACCCTCCTGAGATGAGGTAATGCCTGCAAACATGAAAATTGAAAAAGAACAAAACTCTTCCTTCTTGCAGTCCATTTGGAACAATGGACATCTGGCAGCTGACTGAGACCTTCAACACAGTGCGACTATGCAAAAGAGGTCATGGTTTTCTCCATGAACCTTAGACTCAGAGACCATGCAAGAATTTCCAAAGGAGAATTTCCCATGCATTCTGACACATGGATTAGATGTGTTAGTGATTCCTTTTCTCATGTTTTCTACAAATGGGAGCTCACCCCCAATGAATTGGAGCCCTCGGGAGCAGCCTTGGGTGCCCCATTTTTCTAACCCTAACCCTAAACTGAGATTTTCCCTGCAATACTCCAAGGCCCATTTCCTGCATGGAAATTCAAAATAGTGAAAAACCCTTCATTCTTGCAGCCCTTTTGCACTGATGGACACCCTTGTTATGCCATGTTATGCCTTTCAAATAGTGGGCCTACGCAAGGCAGATCATATTTCTCCCCACAAACCCTATCCTGAACTACCATGCCATAATTTGCGAATAAGAATTTCCCATGCATGCCAGTGATCAGAAATGATGCACCAATGATTGTGTATCTTCTGTTTCCTAAATTTGAGGTCCTGCGCTGAATGATTTGGAGGACTCGGGAACAGCCTAGGGTGCCCCTTTTTCCTAACCCTAACCCTAAACTGAGATTTTTCCTGAAATACTTCTAGCACCTTTCTGGCATGGAAGTTGAAAATAGTGTAAAAGTCTCCATCCGTGCAGTCCTTTTGGATGGATGGACATCATCACAGCTCACTGAGATCTTTCAAACTGCAGGACTACACAATAGGGGATCATGTCTCTCCATGAACCTTAGACTCAGTCAACCACGCAAGAATTTTCAAATGGGAAGTTCCCGTGCATTCCGGTGTCCTGACCAGATGCAGTGCTGACACTCTTTCTCAAGTTTTCTACCTCTGGGAGCCCACTTGGAACAATTTTGAGACCTAAGGAGCAGCTGAGGATTGCCCAGTTTTCCAACCCTAATCCTAAAATCAGAGTTTCCCTGCAATACTTCCAGGCCTATTTCATGCATGGAAATTCAAAATAGTTCAAAACTCTTCATTTCTGCAGTCCTTCTTGACCAATGGATATTCTAGCACTCCTGTTGGGGCTTTCAAACAGCAGGACTACCCAAATAGGATCACAACCCTTGCCCCCAACCCTATCCTCAACCAGCATGCCAGAACTGGTGAATATGAATTTCCCATGCACTCCAGTGGGTCAACACTGCATCTGATCAGCACACTGAAATGCATGTTACATTCCTATTTTTAAATTCCTGCGGGGTCACTGAGGATAAGGTTCATGGTGAGATACATCATGCTGTTTGTGTAGTCCCACTGTTTGAAATATCTCAGTGGGGTGCCTGAATGTTCATCAATCCAAAGAGACTGCATGAATTATGAGCTTTACACTTTTTCAATTAGCATGCCTGAAATGGGCCTCAAAGTATTGCAGGGAGAATCTCAGTTTAAGTTTAGGGTTAGGAAAATGGGGTACCCTGGTCTGCTCTCAAGGCCTCCAAATCATTCAGAGCAGGCTCCCAAATGCAGGAAACACATTAGAAAGACAATCAACACTGCATCTAGTCGGGACACCGGAATGCATGGAAATTCCTATTTGGAGATTCTTGCATGATCACTGAGGCTTGGGTTCATGTTGAGAAGTATCAGCTCCTCAAGGCAGCCTCGCTGTTTAAAAGGTCTCAGTCTGGTTCCAGGATGTCCATTGGTGCAAAAGGACTGTGGCAATAATTAGCTTTTCACTATTTTCAGTTTCCATGCTGGAAATCAGGTCTGAAAGTTTTGCAGGGAAATCTCAGCTAGGGTTTGGGTTAGGAAAATGGGGCACCCTGAGCTGCTCCCAAGGCCTTGAAATCATTGGGATCTGACTACAAAATGTCCCAAACATGAGAAAGACCATCAGTGCTACATCTGGTTGACATACCTGAATTCATTGGATATTCCCATTCCTCAATATTTCAGTCACAGGCTTGGGTTAAAGGTGAGACATCCTGGCCCAACAGGTTCTAGCACCTATACTATGTTTTTCATTTTGCACTTTTGTCAATTTCCATGCATCCAAATGGCTTGCAATTACAACAGGAAAAAACTCAGCTTCAGGTTAGGGTTAGAAAATTGCGGCTCCCTGCACAGGTCCTGGGGCCAGGAAATCTTTCTACTTGGGCTACCAAATGTAGCAGTCAGAAACTATTCTGTTAGTGCAACATCTGGTCTTTCCAACTGAATGTTTGGGAAATCCATATTCTGCGAGATTTGAAAAAAAAAAGTCAGGCTAGGGTTGTAGGTTTCAAACTTTGCCTTTTTTATTTGGCCACACGCCTTCAAGTTCTCAGTTGATAGCGCCGACTTTCAACTGTGAGAAATATCCCGATAGAATCAGTTTTTAACTTCTCTCAACTTTCAGGCAGCAACACAGTCTGGAATATCGCGATGATAATATTATTCTGGAGGATTCTCGCTTTTTTCAATTTTCGCAACCACTATTCTTGTGAAATGATTGGGTGTTCCCTTAGTTCAAAATCAGATGACAGGTCATTGGTGCCAGTGCCTTAATATTGCCAGCTGTATAAAGAAATCAATAATACCTGGGCTGAAGCTATTCTCAGTCAATGCCACTGCAGTTTCACAGGAAGAATCAATAGAAATTTGATTATAGTTTGCTGAACTCTAAACTGTCCTCAGGTAGAATGAAAACATATTTTATTATCACAGAACATCAAGCTGCTTTGGAAATGTGGTATTATAATGTTCCTCGGTTTTTTCTCCATAGCAACAATATTTACATAGCAACAATATTTACATAGCTACTTTCAAGCCTCTCTTAATAGCTTCATCTACGTCAACAACAAGACTGAGCTACTATCATTGGAGGCTTTCCTGTAGTTCTATCCAATTTTTAATTTCACAATTCCTTTTCTAGCTTTCTCATCCCTGAAGCTAACAAAGAAGAATCAAAATGCAACAATAATATTAAATACTGCTTTGGCCTTTGTTTTATATTTACTAACTTAGCCATGGAGCTCACTGGATGACTTTGGGCCAGTCAGGGACTCTTGAGCCCAAGCCATCTCACAGGGTTGTTGTTGTGGGGAGATTTGAGAGCGGGAGGAAAATTGTGTAAGCTGCCTTGAGTCCTTGGAAGAAAAAAAGGTGGGGTAGAAATATAATAATAAAGAAACAGCAATCTGGTTGCGAGCTACTCGGGTAAAGGAGATTGCTAGCAAAGATGCCTTATCTGAAAAATAATTCTGACTGATACATAATGGTTTATGGAGTTCATCAGACAACACACCAACTAAACCACCTCTCATTCCATCTGTCACACCTATTGCACTGCTGGTTGTCCATGCATCAGAAGTAGAATCTGTATTACAAAATTATACCCAAGCTTTAGCTGGTGTTTGAATTCAAATATAGAGAAGGGATCAAATGAATAGGAAAGCAAACTGCTAATAGATTAGTAGTCAAAACCTTTCAATGAAATTCTTCTAATGGAATTATTACTTCCATTGCTGGGCAGCACAGTATGAAGAATATATGGCTTGCAGACTTTATGCATGCCATTTAGTTTTGCGTGGGGCAGCTCTTATGAAATACTGGCTCTCTGATTGGTCATTGTAAGCAGGTATACTGATAGGATGGAGAGAAGACATTAAAAGCAGTTCAAGTTAATGAAAAGCTACAGTACAAGGACAGACAATACAAACGCACGCTTTAAATTAAAGTTTAAAGCAGAGGAAAGCTTTATTAAAACCAATCCTCAGGAGAATTTCTAGAGATGAAAATTGACATTCATAGTCACATTTTGCCTAAGGAGTGGCCTGATCTAAAACAGGTAACAGCAGTGTGGAATATTTGATAAAATAGCAGTGGGAAACAGTATAGTTTCTGATTTCTATTTAATAGTTTCAGTTGAGCTTTATCTTTGAAATTTCTGACCTTTTGGAACTTTCTCATGGAGTTTATATCATTTTATTTTCCAACTGAACTCCCACTGAGTAAGAGAAAACAAACTGATGTTCATTTCTAAATGCTTCTGGGACCTTAAAGTTTTATATATGCCAGAGGGCATTTGAATAATGCTGTTAATATGAATTTTTAAACAAAAGTGTTCTGATAGTTGCTTAATGAAGCAGGTGATTTGGATGTACTTTTCTCTTTTCATTACTGCCAAAACAAGTCATCTCTGCTTGCTTTTAAATATTTTAATTAATAAAAATGTTAATTTCAGTTTTATAATTGCAAAGAAAATTAATTGGGGGCACAGTTTGGTGCCCCCACTTTCTGCTCATTACACCTTTGAAATTCCTTTTTTTTTCCAGTACTAATTTAACATGTATGAAGTACAGGCTTTATCAGCCTCATTCTACCTCTGTTAAAGGCAACAATCACCTTAAGTTACTGGTGTGCAGTGCATCTCTGTGTTTATTCAGAAGTATGTGCTACCATTCATAGATGTTAATTCCCTAGTAAAAGTGTTTAGCATTACAGAAATTACGGAAATATATGGAATGAGTTAATTTAGCTAAATGATTTAGGTAAATTAATAATAGCGTATACAAAAGTTGGAGCATTTGAACTGTTAGTTATACAGATTTATGATGCAAGCATGACCGGTATGTATACAAGAAATTGCAGGAAATCTTCATTGGTAATCTACCATACTTACTGGCTTTATGTAACACAGCTATTATGCATCACTACCCACAATGGGTTGTCATGTCATGTGTACCCAGATCAGTTTTCCTGAGCTGGCTTGTGAGCAAAAAGTTAACCAACAACCCTTGGCTTGTTCAAGGGACTGTTCAATTCATGGTGGGCAGAAACTAGATGACCAGCCCCATCATGGGCAAGCAGAATTGGCTAGAAAGTCCCACAACCTCATATAGAATACTGTGTCCAGTTCTGGGCTACAAGACTTAAGAAAAATGCAGAAAACTTAGAAAGCATCCAGAGGAGGGCAACAAAAATGATCCAGGGTTTGGAAACATTGCCCTGTGAGGAGACACTGAGAGAACTGGGCGTGTTCATTCTTGAGCAGAGAAGGTGGAGAGGTGAAAAGATTCACTCTATAAGTACCTCAAAGGCTGACACAAAGAGGAAGGTCAAGATCTCTTCTTGCTGATGCCAGAGTGCAGGACACGGAATAATCAATTCAGGCTGCGACAACCCAGATTCAGGCTAGATAGCAGAAAAAGCTTCCTCATTGTCAAAGCAATACAACTGTGGGGACAGCTGCCTAGTGAGGTGGTGGACTTTCCTGCACTAGAGACATTCAAAAAAAACTGGACGGTCATCTGAGTGGGATGATGCAAACTGGTGACCTGGAACAGCAGGAGGCTGGACCTGATGGCCTTCATGGCCCCTTCCAGTTCTACTCTTCTTTGATTCTATGATTCTGTGACAAAAGCAGCAACATACTCTTGTCACAAGGCTCTTGGGCAAGTGCAGTCACTCTTAAAGTGCATAAGCAGCATTTGGAAGCAGCTGGCATGAGATACTCCTACTGCAATCACAAACTACTTTGAACTCACCACAGCTATTTTCCTGCTTACCTTTATTTGTTTCTTCCTACATGTGGATATCAGGAAAGCCACCTGTCAAGCCAGCTTCCATGGTTCTCTTTTGATAGCTACTAGAAGTTCTTTCAAAGTGCCCAAGCAGCACCTTGGAAGAGCTGCCCATGGTTGTCCAGTCTCATTTCTTTTCTTTTTCTGTGTCTAAACAATTCTGCAAAAGGATTATCGATTATTTTCTAGCCAGAGCTCAACAAATACTAACCATCACAGTTGCAGAACTGCAAGCATTTGAAGCCTTGACTTGGGCAGCTTCTGGTGGGGTTGGTGCCTGTTCCCAAAGGGCAGCAGGTACCAACGCTGAATATTGCCTAAATGAAGCTGTGAATATATTCCCCTTTTGTTTTTTCTTTTTTGTTTTTTTCAGTTCCCATTCAGACTCCCCTCTTTAGAGTTTTGACAGCTCTTTGTGAAACCTGTAAGACCTTTCCCTTGAAAAACAGAGTTCTGTTTTCATTCGAACTTTCCCAAGCAGTAGAGCCTTAAGATGAACTACAAAATGTGCAACCTTGAGGAAATTAAAGAGGGAGGAGAAAAATGTTTCACTTTGACGGGGAGCTAAATTCTACCGAAATCCTTTTTGCAGTTAAAGATCTATTGCTACTTTGGTTTTTTGGACAGCTTACCTCCTGACAGCCATCAAAAACAAAACAAAAAACCAAACGGGTGGAAATATATTTGGAGACCTTCTGGGCAATGTCCAGAGGTGGTACTTGCTGCCCCTTGGAAGCAGGCAGCTGCCTGGGCTTTGCTTCAGTGGGCAGTTGTGCGACTGCAGCTAGAGAGGGATTAAATATTTCTGAGCACATGTATTTGTAAAGAAAAAGCGGGCTGGACAAGTTTGAAATTTAAAGGAGACGCTTATCCCCGTTCAAAGATTACAGTGACAGAACTGAACCACCCACTGAACTGTAACTCAGCATCCTCTCAGACTATCCTCCTTTTTAGGTCCCTTTGATCCATAACAGCAATTTTAGCCTCAGTGCAGGTATGCTCAAAACTTCAGGTATTCTAAATATAGTCATACCAGATTTGTATCCATTTATACTTTCTGCTAGAGACTGCACTTACAGGCAACCCCTCATTCTGAAATGAGTAAATAAATAATAATAAATGAATGACATAATAAAAAATAAATCATTACGTAGCAGCAATCCTGCAGATGCTGTAGCGTCCCCACTATTATGAGTCCTACACAATCAAGGATCCATTCCCCTGCCTCACTCACACTTTTTGTTTTATTGCAAAAGGAGGAAAAAACCTGCAAATGAAATGAAAGCTGTAGCTGTTTTGCTGTTATTTATAATCTAAATATCTTTATGAGACAGGCAGTGTCCCCTTCCAAGCAGCTAGCACAGGACTCTCCCAGTCTCAGCTAGGCAGAAATCCAAAAGTCGGGGGTGATGTTTTCATAGCAGATTAAGAGAGATCTGAGCCTGATACTTAGTACCTGCTTTTGTTTCAAGCTAGTTTAAGGGACTTAAGCTGACTTTAAGGGACTTAAGCTGACTTTTCTACAATGACGACGCCCCACCACTTTTGCATCATGGCTCTCTCCTCTGCCCCATTAGCTTCCTGTGCCACTCTAAGCATTCATAGCACAAAAGAGCAACAGGACCTTGGGTGTGAGTGTCCTTGTGCAACACCTTCTAAAGGCATTTTCTGTACCTTTTGTACCACGAGTACATATAATTCAAAGCACTCACAGAACTATTTTTAAGTTGTCCATCTTTTGAACTATTTTGTTTGCAAACTATGTTGGGCACTATATCAGGTCCTGAGTTTCTTCAGCAAAACCAACATCAAAAGGCACTTGGACAAGAAGTGATACTTGATTATTTGAAAAGAGTAACAGAGTAATTCATATATAAAATTCAGAGAATTTTTTCAGTCTATCATAACGAGATAGTTCAAATCCAATAATCTTAGAAATAATAGAAAGCCAATCCTATCCTTTTGAGAATGCCCTGCCTCTTCCACACCCCTCCCCATCCCACCCCATTAAACCTCTCTGGCCGAATCAATGGGCACTTCAGTTGTGTATTAACAGATTTTCTTGGCTCTTTAAATATTAATAGGAGAAGGTGACCTTCAGACTCACCAGGGGCTCACAGCAGCTGGAGCACAAAATCGATGCATGTTCACACTAATGATTAACTAATTATAGCACAGCGGAAATTATATTAGTTTATTACTTTTTATCAACAAATCTTTAAATGTACATCAGGTTGCATAGTGAAGGTTTGCAATTCTGTCAACCTCTCTGGGAGTATGCCCCCCATGAACTATTTATTTATTTATTTAGAATTTTTGTATGCCGTCCCATCGCATAAAGCCTCGGGACAGCTTACATAAAATAAACAAACATATAATACATATAATACAAATTAAAAACCCCAATTCATCCTGGCTGTAAATTAAAACCTATAAATAACATTAAAAGTTGTTAAAATATTGTTTAAATAAAAAGGTCTTAGCCTGGCGCTGAAAAAAATAATGACGGCACCAGGCGGACCTCTCTGGGGAGTGCATTCCATAGATGTGGCGCCATCACAGAGAAAGCCCTCCTCTGGGTACTTTGCCTCCTGATGTCTTTCATGGAGGGCTCCCGGAGGAGGACCTCTGCTGCCGCTCTCAAGGGGTGGGAGGAACTAAATGGAATATAGACTGCTCTGTAAAAGCTAGTTCTCAATATATTATGGTAGTTGTCAGACCTTTTCCTAAATTATTACAAAATCATCCAGAAATTATTCCCACCCTTTCACAGCAGATGTGGTGCCACCATGGACATCTGCATGAGGCAAACAGCTGGGCAGTTCTGCCCTGGGCCACCAGACACATCAGTGTAGAAAGCCTGTGTCCTTTCAGTAGGGAACCACTCCAGTCACTAGGGAAGATGGTATAGGAGTCTGTGTTTAAACACAAAAGGTGTGCAGAGTACCATCCCCTGTGCCTGTGCTTACCCTCCCACCCCATCTTTGGGCTTTATCCCCCGCACAGCCTAAGTCAGCCAACTGGGCCCATCTCCCAGTCCTTGGGGTCAGCCATCAACTCCAGGTGCCAGTTGCTAACCAGCCATTGCTTGTTATCTCTGGCATCCTGAAGGACAGTTCTGGTAGTTCTCACCTCCTTAACAGAGAAGGAATTAGGATGTCTTCCAAAGGCTAGGCTGGCACCTTCTGCCTCCAGTATTTTGTCAGTTCCTAGAACCCTTCCCTGACCTTCTGGAGCCTAGAAAGCTGGTTCACATCACAGGTAGCCTTTTCCAGTGCTGGGACAGGGCCATGTGTGGGTCTGAGCAGAATCCACAGGGCAGAAAGATTGCTAGATCTTGCGGCACCCAGCAGAATTCCTTAAAAAATTGAAAACAAGAGAAGACAAGACATCAGGAGATGCGTTCATACACCTCCATGTACCTCATAGTTAGTTTGGCTCTTATTCCCTCTTCCTCCCCAATTTTGCCATCCTTTATGCAGAAAACCTTCCAGAACCAAAGGCTACCTATGCTTCTGCCCTCAGCATTGGAGCAAGGCATTCTAACGCTTGTGTGCCTGATCCTGCCAATTCACTGGCATTTAATGAGTTACAGTCAATTTTTGCACTGACGCCCCATTGAAATCAAAGTGTGAAAAATAATTATTTCAATGGACCTAAGTGCAAGCATCTTGCTAAAGATCCAAACCAAGAAATTTGTATCCTGCTGCTGCAAACTGCTTCAAGCACTGGGGAGGTCTTTGTTATGATTTCAATTAAAAATTCAGAACATAATAAAAGTCCTGCAGGATCCAGAACAGAAGATCTTTTCTCATACTGAGTGAATCTAATTCAGTTGTTTCGGACAAGGCATTGTCAGATGGATATCGGACTTCAAAAGTAGAACACAAAGGCACTGATTTAAATGTGGGATTACTTTGGAATACTTATTTGGCACCGTGCTCCATGTTTTAGAGAAATTTTTAGATTTCTCAGAATTAGCCCTAAAAGGGTGGTCATAAATTGCCCCCTGGTCAAATTCTTCACGGGAAATCTGAATTCTTGTTTCCATGGGTATTTAGCTAACCATTATATGCTTGTTTCTTTTCATAGAGATATGGCTATGGAGGATGGATCCGCCTGGAGCAACACTGTAAAGTTAGTTACATTTCTGTCCTATACAATCTACAGATATATAGTTATTGAGAAGTATATATAAATTATGGGAAAGAATGTAAGAAGGAAGCTTCTGGGTGCTTTGTTTATATTTTAACAGTTTTAACATTTTCAACTCTATGTTGCTGAGGAAACCTTGGTTACTGGGAGACAAAGAAAGCTAATTAACACAATAAAGAAATGATATTGCTTGTTTTCAGCAGCAGCCTTTAAAGTGGGCAAGCTGAACCCTCATCTGGGTTCTGAGGTGGGGGCCTTCTACTCCCTGTACTCAGACCTCCCTGTGTGCTTATGTTCTTAAGAGAGAAACCTCTCAAAAGGGGAGGACTTTTTTTTAAATGTGCCTTTGGCTGCTGAGGAGCTGGAGAAACAGAGATGATTTTGCAAAAGATGAAACTAGAAAGTTCAGTCAAATATGCCCAATTATGGCAAGAAAATTCTGGAATCCTTCCACCCTGCCCTTGTATTCAAGCTGTTTCTCTGACAAACAGAGTGGAAGGAGTGTCTTCCAGCATCTTAAAACTTACAGCATAATCCTAAATGGGTCTATCCAGCAGTAAATCCAACTGGGCTCAGTGGGACTTACTCCCAGGTAAAAGTGCATAGGAAGGATGGGGCAATAAATGAAGGCATTGCAGAAATAAGACTTGCAGGATGCTGCCAGATGTTTTATCATGCTTAACACCTACAATATCTGAAGTAATATGGTCAGTAGCAAAGGTATGCACAGAATGCCATCCCCTGAGTAACAAAATAATGCCATGATCACACCATTAAACCAATTCAACTTTCCATCTATACATGTTTACAGAAGTTCTTATTATATTTATTTTTAAATATATTGTCAGGGTTTCCAGACTATGGTTTCATCTTCTATTCTAACATACTGGAATGGAACACTATGGAATACTATGAAAGCTGGAATGGTGGAAAGCAGGGGAGAAAATGGTTTATTGAATGTTTTAAACCAGGGGTCTCAAACTCAACTTACCTGGGGGCCGCTGGAAGTAGAGTCTAGGTAAGGCTGGGCCGCATCAAGCGGTGGTGGTGGGCCGCTCATCCCGCGTCGCTCCCGGAGGCCGGCCCGGGCGCTGCCAGCGCTTTGAAGGCTGCAGGGCCCCTCCCCCGTCCCCCGCCGGTCCCGGCAAGTGGCCCGCAGGCCGCGAGTTTGAGACCCCTGTTTTAAACAGAAGTAATACATGACTGTCTAAAGGAATGGGGCACCTGTAAGACTGTTGCACGCAGGATCAAAAATTCCCTAGCTGAGCCACAGAGCCATTCCTGTTCTGAGCTACCACTGGGACTTCAGTGGATTCACAAAACTGGAACAGAAGAGCACTGCTAGGAAAGGAACACACAGCTGAGAGGTAGCTCTGTGACCTTTTCAAGTACAACACTGAAAAAACATGGCCTGTTTTGCTTGTGGCTTTTGCAGATGTGGACACACCACACAACTTGGCAACACTACTGAACTGTGGGAGGGGCAGGAAGAGAACTGAGAACATACCTTGCCCAGGGCCTTATTTATTCTAGAGCTGGTCCTGGTTGATATATGACAGAATCTGAACAATTTAAAGACAGATAACGTCTGCATCTTTATCAATATCAACCATAAATAAATCTATGTACTTTTTGGGTGTATAATATCAACAATAATGTAATACAAACAACCTTAAGCATTTGCACATCCAGGTGTCAATCCTTCGGGCACTAATCATTTGGTAATCAGCAGGCTGAATAATGCTGACATTGCAGGGATGCTTTTTTCAGGATTTGTCCAAGGACAGAAATAAATACACTTGAGTTTTGAGGACTGTGAAGCAACACTCCTGCGCCTTATGGATTAACTTCAGGAGTAACCATGGGTGGCAGAGGTGGCAAGGTTGGGAACTTGCTCTCCTTTCTGTCCATGCAGGCAGCTTCCCCTGTGTCAGTTGTTTCTTCACAAAATGTAAACTGGAGGCCCAGATCTCCACCTCAGTCCATCAGGTGCCCACCTTTGCTCTTAAGTTAAATTTATTTGGTCTCAGTCTCCCAGCCTAAAGAGCTGATTTCTGTTTCCCAGTTATATGTAATTACCACATGGCAAATCATAGAGCATTTAAACTGAAGCCTATAGAGAGAGGGGCTGATTAAATAACTTGCACAAGGGGAAAAGCACACAGCTCATAGCTAAAAGTAATGAAGGGGGAACAATTAACTAAATAACCTATCGAGGGAGTATGTCATGCAGACAAGAAGGCTACTGATGCCCTTTTAATCTTTATTAAAAATAAAATAACCAATGTATATACTTGAGCAGATACAATATCCTACACTGTGAAAAACTCCAAAGATCATGTTGACATTTGCCCTTCTGCATGTTTACCTGAATTGCTTCCTACATAGGTCTTCATAACAACTGCTGATGGAAGCGCATTTTCTCTAAAAAGCAAATTTTAACAAGCTCGATGATCACATCTCAAATTGTCTGTCTTTTCAATAGAATAATAAATATTGGAATATGACCTAAAAAGCAACCTAGATTTATCCTTATTAGAGGAGTAAGAGGGATGAAACTGTTTCATAATAATTATATAAAGGTAAAAAACTTGGAATAGCAACAAAAATTCAAAAGAGAGTGGAACTATAGTTAAACTGAACAATTTATATCAAGACTGGTGTAAGTGAATTGGAAATTAGAAGAGCAAACTGGTAGCAAGAAAGTAGAAGAGGAGACACAGGGGGTTGTAGGAGATCAGAGAAAAAAAGTTGTCCCATTTACCTCCCCCAGCACAAAATCTTGCAAGTCAAGTTTCCTGCTCTGTGGCCAATCTTCCCTCCCACTTCAATCCCTCTGTTCAGGGTGAGCTGCCAAGAGAAATGAAAGCCACACTTGCTCTCAAAAATGGGGTGGCCACTAGCTTACCCCCTTTGAGGTGACATTTTAAAAAACCGGACACCTCTGATGATTCTCTGTCTTTTCCACACCTCCCTGAAAGTCTAGGTGTTCAGAAAGATGGAAACATGTAAGCTACCCTCTTTTATAGGAGCACAAAGGTTTGACATCTCCTGCTCTACTTCAAGAAGCCTCTTCTGCATTGTGAATTTTCCTGCATGGTATGAGTTGTGGTACACAGAATGAATAAAAAGAGAAAATCACAATAAACTGGGTGGACACAAATGTTTGCACAACATGGCTGGCTCATCATAAGTTATGGCAGGTACCGTTCAGAACACACAACTCCCAGCCAAAATGATTGCGCACAGAGTTGCATCATGAAAGCTCAGCCATCAAGGGTTATTCAAGGGTTGAACAATCCTCAAATAACCATACTACTAATCAAAGGTTATGCATGGCTTGTTTAATCCTTGGATAACCTATAATGGCTAGGTTTGCACAACCCCCAATCATTTTGAGTGAGGACTACAAATTGAAAATGGAGGCTGTACACACCATGCTTCATTATAGATTAAATAACCCTTGATGATCCAGTCATATTGTGTGAACCAAGTCATTGTTTAGCCCTTATCAGTAAGGTTGGAACTATCTAATAAAAAATGTAATTGAAAACATAATGAACAGAGTGTTCTTCTTTTTATATAGTGTTCTTCTTACTGGATAAGATTACTTACCCTTTAGCATTTATTTTATTATTTTATTTCATGTGGTTACTACCATACTGTATAGTCCTAAAGCAAGTTTTCTAAGAAACGGCTTTAAACAGTTAAAAACAGTCATCCCAGAATGGTACCTTAGCATAAACACAGAAAGCCTCCCAATTTTTAAACCATCCCAGCATCTTTGCCAGATGCAAAGCAAATTTCAGGGCTGGCATAAGATTAACCATCCTAAATTGGCCCTATCATTAAGCTCAGGCTGGGCAGGGAATCTTGGCAGGGGTCTGTGTATCATAAGGTCTGCTCTGGATCTCCAAGCTGCCTTTCCACACTCTCCCATCACCAGGGCTGATATAAGGTTCCAGTGCCAGGCCTGTTATCTTCAGTATCTGGAATGTGATGAGCAGGGGAGAAATCTTGTCCTTTGGACCAGTTCTTGTCACTTCTGAAGTGCCTCCAAATATCTCAGCTTGAACAGCTGTTACATTTTCAGTCTGATATACTGAAGAGTCACTTTTTAAAATATTTTATTCAATATAACCTGACCAATAAGCTCTTTTAAATTTTGTTCTGGTTGAGTGTAGTCACCACAAGATGCTTTGATCTTATCCATTTTAATTTAATAATTATTTCATTTGAATGCACTGTTATGTGGTGAAAGCTAGAGCTTACTACCTGTTTCCCAAATTTGTTTTCCCTGGGGTAGTAGATACCAGCTCTAAACACACAATATTCCAATGGAAACAAGAACATGAAAAAAACACACCTTGATGTAGCTTTATTGCTTCAAAACTTCTTATCTTGAAATATATGCTGCTAAAAGCAAAATGTATCTTGGGCTTCAGTTACACACCATCTTATTCTGAAACTTTCTTTTCTTATTTTCTGCTTTTCTGCTTTTCTAGGATGTCTAGAAGTGAAGTGATAATATTCATAAATGTTAGCACGTGCTATAAGCCATAAAGTAAATTGATTTAGCCTCCAGAAGGACAGCCTGAAATTAACTTTATGAAGAGTTCGGAATGACAGTCCTAGCCTGCAATGCAAAACTAATTTTCTCCTGATTCCTGTGTTTAGTAATTACTGCAAAGCCCTTGAGAATCAGCTCCAAATTAACTTTAACTACAGATGTGGCAAATAAGTGCTTATTTTTAATGCCTCTGGGTCATGTACATTCATAATGACAGTGGCAATGGAGCTTCCAGATGAGGCCTTTACCCTGTCATCTTCCTGTCTTGTTCACATACGTTTATGGGGGAGGCACATGTCCAGACAGCACTGGCTTCTGTTCATGACCCTGCCTTGTTTCCTTATAGCTTCTTTCATCTTTTTCTTACAGCAGAAAACTCACTGAGTACAAAAAAGATGAAATAGGTGCACAATGTCTTATGACTGCTGCTGTTTGAAGCCCTCCAGATCTTCCATATAAATATAGAAATTCGGCCCACAGCCTTTACAATGGGCAAAGTGTTGCTTCAGTCTGTCTAACTGAGCACGACCGTTTTTGTTGTGCTCTGTACTGGGCTTGCCATAGTCTAGAGATCATTAATGCAGATGGCAGTTGGGAGCCGCTGTTCTCTGATTAGGACATGGCTTGTTGGAGAGTCCATCCCACAGCATAACCATTAAAAGGGTTATTACTTATCTTGCCACAGCCTGCATTTATTAGCGAGCAGTTAAGGAGAATCCTTGGAGAAATTACAGGCTTTTCAATATTGCTTCCAGCACTATAATTATTCCATAAAACAGTCTGCCAGAAAACGAACCACATGGCCTACTGGGAATACCAAATTATTCCCACTGAATATTAAAAAAAAAAAAAACCCTGAATCTCCACAATCTATTTTTATACAACAACCTGCTCAATTCCATCAGATCCAATTCCATCTTTTCTATTTCCTGGAAACTGTTTGATGCCTGTAAGAATATATGGCTAAATTTGTCCCTTCTGAAACTTGGGGAAATCAGTTCTCAAATGGTATTTGCCAGAGGAATCAGATGGCAGCAGTGTAATTATAGCCTGGGATATTTGCAGCAATATCTTGAATTGTGACATAGATGCCAAGTTATTCTGAGACCCTGCCAAAATACTGTTTAGGGTCTAGGGAGTGAAAGGGGAACTGAGATTTTCAAATATTTATCAGTTATGCATGATGCATAAGGCTAATATCATATTGGGGTTAAATATGGCCTTAGTGTGATTTTATTAGGAAACCCATGGATCAAAAGAAAGTGCGAACAGCAATTTAGTCCAACTCCAGGGGAAAAAAAATGCTGCGAAGCATCTCTGATGTGTGATTATTAATATGTTTCAAGGAATATGCATGCCCACATGCACAGAAGCCACATTTTTAGACCTGTAAGTCACGATGGCCAGTTCCAAATGCAAGGCTCTAGCGACAGGATGAAAGCGTGGGACTGGATGCCTTTGGTGTATGCATCCCAAACCCCGTTTGCTATAGAAAGATATTAGCAAGGAACTTTAATATATATGACCAATATTTTGGCTTTCTACAGTTTCACATTGACATAACATGGACCCAGAAATGCATCTGTGGACATCCATCATAGCGTTTAGCTATATTATTCATGTTCAAGTAGTCTTCCATTTAAACTATGGCAAGGCATCTTGCATCATGCAAAAAGCGACAGCCAGAATTTTAACTAGAAAAGCACAATGGAACATATCTTACCAGGTCTGAATGAATGAAATTCACAGGTTATGCACTTACTTTCAGAGCCTAGTTCAGAGTGCTGATGTCCATCTACGAAGCCCTCAATGGCTTAAGAGCCAGAGCTAAAGAACCACCTATTATGTATTGATTATATTTGTATAAAAGCTGTCCATTAGCATTATACTCCATTGCAATAAAATGCAAATAGTAAAATTAATAAAATAATACAATTAAATATTATAATAAAGAAACAAGATAAAACACAATATATACCAATTTTAAATTAATAAAATTAAAACATGAGATTAAAATTAAAGCCAGTGCTGCCAATATAGATAGTTTAAGTAAACCCACAGCTGCATTGAAAAAGAAAAGTTTTTTTCAGGCACCTAAAACTCAATAAAGTAGGCACCTGATGATTCTTCGATGGCAAGGCATTCCACAACTAGGGTGCCACCACAGAAAAGGCCCTCCTTCTTGCAACCTCCCCCTTAATCTCCCTAGGGAGAGGAACCTGTAGGAGGGCCTCCACTGATGATCTTAAACAAGTATGTGTGCCAAACTAATCTTCGTGGAAGTTGAGGTACTCAGCTGATCCTCTCCTGCTGAGACAAGTCAAAAGCTGAGAAAAGGACATTCTTCATGAAACTCCTTCCTCAAGTAAATTCACCTCACCTAGCACCAGTTTTGTTACTATTTAGGCATTATCTAAAAACATTTGTATTTTCCCCAGCCTTTTAACTACACGTGTTCCTGTCTGAGATGCTTATATCTCACCATCTCTTGTGCTTCAGGGCAACTTCAAAAACAGCAAAACACATCACAATAATAACAGCAAAACAGAGTCAGCAATAAAACAAATTTAAAGCATCTGAATGACATGTATAATTTTATTGTTTTAACCATTGTAAACTATCCTAAGATCATTGGGTGGAGGGTAGTATAAAAATCATATAAAGGAATAAAGGAGTGAGTGAGTGAGTGAGTGAGTGAGTGAGTGAGTGAGTGAGTGAGTTCTGCCTACAGACTAGCATAGTCCTGGGTGGCCAAGGGTAAAGAAATACATTTTACTAATATTCAGAGATGCACTCTTTTCTTCTTTATTACTGCACATGCTCACCAATGCAGGGGAACATGGCAAAGCAAGTATCAGTGGTAACCCCTGGAAAGCCTCTGCTCTGATTAATCTTATATGTGGAAGCAGCTGCATCTCTAGTCTGAGCCAAGACAAGACCTATCCATTTTTAATAACAGGGCCCAAAATCAATATCTATGGCATTAGATATTAATGACCTTGCACAGTCTTGTCTAGTATTTCCACTACAGCACTTTCTTGTAGTGCAGTGATAATATCAGAAGTCCAAGGTCACATGGGAAGAGAATATAGAAACCGGAACATCACGCACACACGAATGCAACACAGGGTGAGTGCTTGCCATATAGCTCCAGGCCTGTGGCATTACAACTGCATTGCAAGAGTTCCCAGACCTCAAAGGTAATGCTGGCCAAAAATGATCCAGACTGGCATTACAGAAACAAACAAGTTAGGCAAATATTATTTTGATCACAAAGACAACATTTGCATTAATAAATGTTCACCATTTTACAGGGGGAAGCCAAAATGATAAGAGATGAACAAGTTTTCAGAGTTATCCAGGAGAATTGTTGGGACCCAGAAGTTCGGATTAAAGAGATGAACCAATCAGGTACATCCATGTGGATATTTAGGGCTCAGATATCCAGTATGATAACAGCTGTTTCTAAAGGATGCTTCAGTGAAAACTTTCATCATTGATTTTCAGAAGTGATTAGCAGCTAGCTGTCAGGAACATAGGAAGTTGTTGTTGTTGTTGTTGTTGTTGTTGTTGTTAGAACATTTCTATGCCACCCCTTGCCGAAGCCTCAGGGCGGCTTACAACACAATAAAATACAATACAATATAAAAATAACAATATAAAATTAAAATTAATAATATAAAATACATAAAAAATATAAACGATATAAAAGAAGTTATAAAAGAAAAGTTATGAAAGAAAAGAAAAGAAGTCGCCCTGGCCAGATAAATAAGTAAATATTGTTAACAATTAAAATGACATTTAAATAAAAAGGTCTTCACCTGGCGCCGAAAAACAAATAACGATGGCGCCAGGCGGATCTCTCTGGGGAGCATATTCCATAGATTGGGCGCCACCGCAGAGAAAGCCCTCCTCCGAGTACATACCCTCCTAATTTCTTTCACGGAGGGTTCCCAGAGAAGGGACTCTCCCGCAGATCTCAAGGGGCGGTCGGGCATATATGGATGTAAGCGCTCCTTCAGGTAACCAGGTCCCAAGCCGTTTAGGGCTTTATAGGTCATAACCAACACCTTGAATTGGGCCCAGACTTCAATGGGAAGCCAGTGAAGCTGTCGGAGGACTGGAGTCATGTGAACATAACGCTCCGTCCCTGTCAGCAACCTGGCAGCTCTATTTTGAACCAATTGAAGTATCCGGACCATCTTCAAGGGAAGCCCCACGTAAAGCGCGTTACAGAAGTCAAGGCAGGAAGTCACCAGCACGTGTGTCACCATCGCCAGGCAGTCGTACTCCAGGTAGGGGCGCAGCTGATTAATCAGCCGAAGCTGAAGGAAAGCGCTCCTCGCCACCACTGTCACCTGAGCTTCCAATGAAAGCTCTGGGTCAAGGAGTACTCCTACGCTGCGGACCTTGTCCCTAAGAGGGAGTGCAACCCCATTCATGGCCAGGTCAAATCCACCCTCTCTGAAGCCCGATCCACCAACCAACAGGACCTCCGTCTTGTCTGGATTGAGCTTCAGTTTATTGGCTCTCATCCAGCCCATTACCTCAGCCAAGCACCGGTTCAGCACAGCCACTGCCTCACCTGGATTAGTGGAAAATGAGAGGTAGAGCTGGGTATCATCAGCGTACTGATGATTCCATAGCCCACACCTCCTGATGACCTCTCCCAGCGGTTTCATATAGATGTTAAACAGCAAACGGGACAAAATGGAGCCCTGTGGTACTCCATGGCATAGCTGCCATGGTGCAGAGCCATAGTCCCCCAGCACTACCTTCTGGAATCGGCCGTTGAGATAGGAGCGGAACCACTGCAAAGCTGTGCCTCCAACCCCCAATCCCGCTAGCCTATCCAGAAGGATACCATGGTCGATGGTATCAAAAGCCGCTGAGAGGTCCAGAAGAACCAACAGGGACGCACTCCCCCTGTCCTTCTCCCTGCACAGGTCATCGTACAGGGAGACCAAGGCAGATTCAGTACCGTACCTGGGTCTGAAGCCGGACTGAAATGGGTCCAGATAATCAGTTTCATCCAAGAGTGCTTGGAATTGTCCCGCCACCACCCGCTCCAATACCTTGCCCAGAAACGGGATGTTGGCCACTGGTCTATAGTTAGTGGCCATCTCTGGATCCAGTGACACTTTCTTCAGGACCAGTCGGACTACCGCCTCCTTTAAAGGGGCAGGCACCCGACCCTCCCTCAGAGAAGCGTTAACCACTTCCAAGATCCAGGTCCCAATCCCGTGCTTGGAATTATTTATTAACCAAGATGGGCAAGGGTCCAATAGGCAAGTGGTGGGATGTACTTGTCCAAGCACCTTGTCCACATCATCGGGCCGCAATAACTGAAATTCATCCAATAATTCTGGACCAGACGGCAGCATTGGCGTCTCCCCAGAAACCTCTGATTCATTAGTGGAGTCCAGCTCGTGACGAATCTGAGCAATTTTCTCCCTGAAATGCCTGGGAAAGTCGTCACAGCGGGCCTTTGAGGGTGGAACCGGATCTTCCTTAGGACCCGGGCGAACCAGGCCTTGCACCACTCGAAAAAGCTCCGCCGGACGGCATTGTGAGGAGGCAATGGAAGTGGAAAAAAACTTCTTTTTCGCCGCCTTCACCGCCACAGTATAGGCCTGATAGTGGGCTTTCAAGTGTGTTCGGTCGGATTCATCCCGTGATTTCCTCCACCTATGCTCTAGCCGTCTCCCCACCTGCTTCATCGCCTGCAATTCAGGTGTATACCAAGGGGAAGAGCGGACTCTGCCCGGTGGGAGAGGACGCTTAGGAGCGATCGTGTCCACAGCCCTGGTCATCTCCCTGTTCCATAGATCGACTAGAGCCTCGACAGGAGCGCCAGTCTTGTCAGCCGGAAATTCCCCCAGGGCTTTCAGGAATCCATCCGGGTCCATCCGGCTCCGGGGGTGGACCCACACAATCGGATCCGCACCCTTACAGAAGGAGAGGTCACTCTCGAGCACAAACCTCACCAGGAAGTTGCCTCCTACTGAGTTAGACCATTGGTCTGTTTAGCCCAGGACTGTGAACACTGACTGGCAGCCATGGTACTGCAGGCAGGATTCCTTCCTAGAGATGTTGGGGATTGAACTTGAGACCAAATGCATCCCAAGCCTGTGTTCTACCATGGAGCTACACAGTATCATTTGAAATCACGTGCTCTGTGTGTGTGGGAAGATTTCAGGTCAGTGTTCCCCATCCAATTCTTTCCAGGTGTGTTGGATTACGGCTCCCATACTGGCAGGGGCTGATGGGGTTTGCACATGTAGAGGGCACCAGTTGGACAAGACTTCCTTAGAAAGAATCTAAAATATGTCAAGACACTTAATAACTGACTTCATCAGATGTGTCAAGTAGACCAAGAAGGTCCTATCAATTGAAAACACTGAGCACCAAATTAATAAGTGTACAGGAATGCCAGACATATCCTGACTATTGGAGTGCTACAGGTTACATATGTTGATTTCTGTTTTGATTTTTAATAGCCACCCGACATCTCACGGCTACTGAGGATGTTTAATCTACATCAAGGGCCAAGAGGGCAGGATTCCCCCCTTATGGTTTTGCTTTGGTATTCATTGTAGTTCTGCAAAGCTCACAGTTTCTCTAAACATGTTGACACCTTCCTCTCCTTTCTCAATAACCCCATTTTGACTCGATTCTTGCTGGCACTCACAACCTCCGTTAGAGGGAATTGGAGGGAGCAGTAATAAATAAAAGTTTAAAAACAGCCGTATGCATTACTGCGGCTTGCTTAGGCATCCCCTAGAAGCCACTGGGTCAATGAGTCACATTTGCCCCATACTTTCCGTAAATGACCTGCTGCCTCCACCTGCTGATTTGCAGAGAGCAGCAGGACTCTCCTTTTGTACGCTTGGTTATTCAAAGCCAGCATGTGAGACAATGTACAATAACCTTAGAATCCACACCGACAGAAAACAGGTATTAAAGCAGTTAGCATATAGCCATTTTATATAACATAATACCCAGAGCAATAAAGAATAACCAATAATGTTTCTGTCTAATAACATAACATCTTTGACTCTCCTTATTACCACCATGCTTTTACTTGTTATGCTTTCTACCTGATGCTACTTAATTCTAACTCTAATTCTGAACTCTAATTCCTCTCATTTTCACTCTCCATCAGTGGCAGCAGGTGCCCATTGTGGCTGGTTTGCTGACAGACAGGATCATTACATCCTTTTTGCTCTATAGAAAAATAAGCATTAGAATTTAGAATCAATTTATTCCAAGTTCCGCAGAAATAGAATACCTGAATTTTTTTAAAGTTATTCTGAATACAAATAGTATAAACATTTAATAAAATTGTATTTACTACTTTATTTATTTATACATTTCTGTACTGCTCAATAGCCAAAAGGATATCTGTCCCATACTGCTGGTGTGCCTCTGCTAGTTCTTCCTGAAACAATCTTGAAAACGAACTCCAGTGACCTGCTGGGTTTCAGAAATTAGTGTTTCTGTTATTTTCAGATGCTTTGAGGACCCTCCCATTGATTCTCATTGTGCTAGTGGTGAATCCCTCTAGTGCACAGGTAGCATAGGAAGCTGCCCATATTTCAGAAATAAAGTGTAAGCTAAATTTATGTGAATTTAGTATTTAGTTTTTATTAATTTTTATTATTTTTATTTGTGCATCTTTTATCATTTTTATTAGGTATAATGGTAGTTAGTGGAAAGCATTTGGAAAGGTGAACTACTGAGAACCCCCTCCCCCCAAAAAAAAGAAATAAAAATAAGGAAATGTGACCTTAATCTTGATTATACCAGTTGCAGGATCCAAGAGATTACTGAGACTATGTACTAAATCTGTTGCACTGCCAAATTTTATGAAAATTTGTTGATATGGAGAGATGCAAAACCTAGGTGATCTTGAGTATGATATCTATTATCTTCTATGCAACCTCAGTTTAAAGTGATTTCTTGTACCTTAGAGCAATACAAATTGGGTTTTGAAGTAATTTTGTCTGGTGTACAAGTGTGAAAATTTGTCCAGAAGAATCGTGCATTGATTCAATTATAAAATTACATATGACAAAACTCTCTGAACAAATATAATGCATTAGTCCACAAGCTGGTCACATAAATGATCCATCTAGATCTTTAAAAAATGATCTGCACGAGCTACATATATACCTACTCCACAAATGCCAAATGACTGAACTTAGCTAATATAATTCATAGGATCATATCAGTACTGGCAATGTCTTGTTTATCATCTGTACTTATGCTGTTCCACAGGAGTTACTGTTCAGGTCCTTTCTACAGTTCCTGTCATGTTTAGCTATTGGGTAAGTCAGTAAAACAATTATTTTCATTCTATTGCAAAATTAAGAGTAGTAAATGCAAAAATGGAGCAATTCATCAAACAGCACATAGTTGCCAAAAGATCTATGCATGGCATTTCAGTGGATTTCAGTGTAGATACGAGGTTTGGTTTATTTTGTGCATGTGCTGGGGGAGGGTGGCATTGTGGGTTGTTCCTCTGTAACCATGAATGGATGAGCTTCATCCATGCGTGACTTATAAAGAAGTGCCACTGGCACACTTTTCCATAACTGATGACAGTGAGCAATGCTGTCCTGGATGCTGCAGGAATAGCTGACTAGCTGTAATGTTTACTCACATTTGCACTGCTGTTGCTTTCCTCTCAACTTTTCTGCTGGGTTTGCATAGGATCCCAACTACTCTACACTGAAATTCATTACTCTGGTGTAAGCTGGTTGCCATAGGATTGTCAGCCAATATGCTAACCAAATAATCCCATTTCCTGCTTTCCTACCCCTGGCAGGTTAAGTTCTTATTTTGAAATATATTGCCTGATGTTGTTAGTTTGGTTGGCATTTCGATTCTGCAAACCGAAGTTACCACGTGGAGTAAAAAGGGGATGCAATGACGTTCTGACATGAGGATACAGTTTTCCATCTATGCAATGTGACAGTTAAAAGAAAAAAAGATGCTACTTGCTACATATTCATGATGATACCAAATTACTAAATATCCCGTTATTCTCTACATTGTACCACCAACATTAAGACTGTCTATGATTTGCCACATTCAAACATATCAAATCTAGGAAAGAGAAATTAAGACACCAAAAGCCTTAAGCTAAAATTCTCCCTCTCTCTCCCTCTCGCACACACACACTCCTGTTAGTCTGAGAGCATCTAGGAATGAATAGGATTTCTAAGTGGCAATTTTTGAGCAGGACTGTGCTTTCCCTCTAGTCAAGCTAAACAAGCTGGTAGATCCAGCCAAGAGGGTTATTTAATCAAATTGTTGCCCAGAGGAAAATTAATTGTTGCCCAGAGGAAAATTAATTGTTGCCCAGAGGAAAATTTATTTATGTTATTTATGTTATATTTTATATTGTAAGCTGTCCTGAGGCTTTTTTTGCGAATAGGACAGCATATAAATCTTTTAAATAAATAAATAACTAATTGTAGTGTTCTACATAGGCATTGTTTTCTGTAACTTTCCACATAAAGATTATTTTGTACAACCAGTCTTTCTGTTTCCCTGCAACTTTAAGCCATATCCTGATTCACTCTGTAATGATCTTATCAGGCAAAACCACAGGATACTCTAGACTTATGCCAGTTACTAAACAATGACTTAGCCACTACAGTGAAGAAGCACCCGAAGAGGTTCGTTGGCCTTGGCACACTCCCCATGCAAGCTCCAGACCTGGCTGTGAAGGAAGTGCATCGCTGTGTGAATGAGCTCGGATTTCCAGGAGTGCAGATAGGCTCTCACATCAATGAGTGGGACCTGAATGCCCCAGAACTCTTTCCAGTCTATGCTGTGAGTACAAATAGGATATGTGGAAGACACCATGGTGAGGTAGGGTTGCCAACCATAGATGACTTTCAGAAAAATCCAAGGCACAGGCCTGGGATCTTAAAGGAAGGTAGACGGGGGTTCACGTGTGCTGCAGATCAAGCTGGTTGATACTGGAAGGTCACAAGGAGGCCAAGTGAAGGTTCTGGTGTACTGTTTGCCTCTGGCACACCACCACCTTCTGCAGGAGACAAGCTTCTTACTGATGCACAATATCATTCTGGAATAGATGAAGTGTAATGATGATGAACTATTTATTATTTGTTTGACTTATAAAACCACAACCAAGAGTCCCAACCAGGAATTTCTGGGCAATGTACATCCATCAACTTTGTTATACAACATTATAAAAGGAATAGTAATGAAAATATATTTTAAAATGACTAAAACACAAACTAATACCAATAAAACTTCCACATTAATATTTTTTTTAAAAAATTAACCTCCATCAGTGTAGTGGTTGCCTCGATGAAAGTGTTATTTCATTTGAACAATCCACAACATTTAAAATTATTACAATATCATTTAATTATTAAAATATCTAGAAAATAGAGCTGTTTTTGGCTGGCACCAAAATGATTCTAAAGAAGGCATCAGCTGAGCCTTCTCTGGGGAGCTGGTTCCAAAGATACGTAGGACTCAACCACTGAGAAGGCCCCTTTTATTCACCATCCCTTTCATCTCCTTTGAGAAGGGCCTCTGAACCAGACCTTAACAACCAGTCGGGTATATGCAAGAGAAGGCGATCCTTTAGGGCTATATACAATATGTCAAAACTAGCACTTTAAATTGGGCTCAGCCTTCAACTGGTAGCTAAAGAAAACGGTATAGAATCGGCATAATGTGGGTGCACATGGTTCTTATGAGAACCATGCCACCCTATTTTGAACCAATTGATCTTTTTGAACCATCTTTACAGGCAGCCCCGTGTAGAGTGCATTGTACTAGTCCAACCACAAGGTTACCAGGTTGTGGATAACTGTGGCAAGGTTCTTTCTGTCCAGGTAGGGCCAAAGTTGGTAAATTTAAGTATAGCTGAAGGAAGGCACTCCTGGCCACTGAGTCAACCTGAGATGCAAGTGATAGTTTTGGGCCCAGGAGCACCCCCAAGCTACAAACCTTGTCCTTTAGGGGGAGTGTGACCCTATCCAGGACAGGTGGAAGGCCCCCAATTGATCAGATATTCCACTCACCAAGAGTACTGCCATCTTGTCTGGATTGAGCTTCAGTTTATTGGCCCTCATCCAGTTCATTACTGAGCTAAGACACTGGTTCAGAACTGAGACCACGTCACCTGGATATGATGAAAGGTAGAGCTGAGTGTCATCAGTGCACGGGCTCTTGCACATGTTGGACTGTTTTTAGTAACATCAATTACCATTTCCCAGACCATTCTTAGGCTTATTTAGTTTATCCATGCATAAGCTAAATGGTCAGTCCATGTATATGGGCTGTCATCTCACTACCACTGTAGACTCTCCTCTTGACTGGCTAGCCCATTTACGTGATGCTGTTGAATGTTATTCATAAGCAAGCAATATAAACAAAATTGCCATAAAATCATTACTCTTTCCTGACTTACTCTTGTGTTATAAAATCATTTATACACCAGCAACTGTTCTGGCTGGCGTATCATATATTTTGCCATCTCTTTAACAATCTCTTCTTAACTCTCCCTTGTTAATTTAAGGCTGCTGAACGATTAAATTGCTGTCTGTTCGTGCATCCCTGGGACATGGAGAAAAATGGAAGGATGTCTAAATACTGGTTTCCCTGGCTTGTGGGTCAGTAGTTAAAGTGCTTAATCTACATTTATTAATTCAGTCAGTAGTAGCAATATTTATTTATTTTATTTTATTTAGGAAGCTTCTATGCCGCCCCATTCGCCGAAGCCTCGGGGCAGCTCACAATAATAAATAAATAAACACAATATAAAAACAATATAATTTGAGTCGACCAGGCCAATAAATAAATAAATAAATAATATTAACAATTAAAATAACGTTTGAATAAAAAGGTCTTCGCCTGGCACCGAAAAACAAATAACGACAGCACCAGGTGGAACTCTCTGGGGAGTGCATTCCATAGATTGGGCGCCACTGCAGAGAAAGCCCTCCTCCAAGTACTTACCCTCCTAATATCCTTCACGAAGTGTTCCCGGAGAAGGGTCTCTCCTGATGATCTCAAGGGGCGGGCGGGCATATATGGACGTAGGCGCTCCTTCAGGTAACAAGGACCCAAGCCGTTAAGGGCTTTAAATTGGGCCCAGACCTCAATGGGGAACCAGTGAAGCTGACAGAGAACTGGAGTCATGTGAACATAATGCCCAGTCCCCGTCAGCAGCCTGGCAGCTCTATTTTGAACCAATTGAAGTATCTGGACCATCTTCAAGGGCAGCCCCACGTAGAGCGCGTTACAGAAGTCAAGTCGGAAAGTCACCAACAAGTGTGTCACTGTCGCCAGGCAGTCGTTCTCCAGGTAGGGACACAGCTGATGGATCAGTCAAAGCTGAAAGAAAGCGCTCCTCGCCACCGCTGTCACGTGAGCTTCCAGTGAAAGCTCTGGGTCAAGGAGCACTCCCAAGCTGTGGACCTTGTCCCTAAGAGGGAGTGCAACCCCATTCAGGACTAAGTTCAGGTCCCCTTCCCCGAAGCCCGATCCGCCAACCAACAGGACCTCCGTCTTTTCTGGATTGAGCTTCAGTTTATTGGCCCTCATCCAGCCCATTACCTCGGCCAGGCACTGGTTCAGTACAGCCACTGCCTCACCTGGATTGGTAGAGAATGAGAGGTAGAGCTGGGTATCATCCGTGTACTGATGATTCCACAGCCCACACCTCCTGATGACCTCTCCCAGCGGTTTCATGTAGATGTTAAATAGCATGGGGGACAAGATGGAACCCTGCGGAACTCCATGGCATAGCTGCCATGGTGCAGAGCCATAGTCTCCCAGCACCACCTTCTGGAATCGGCCATTGAGATAGGAGCAGAACCACTGCAAAGCAGTGCGACCCCCAATCCCACTAGCCTATCCAGAAGGATACCATGGTCGATGGTATCAAAAGCCGCTGAGAGGTCCAGGAGAACCAACAGGGACGCACTCCCCCTGTCTTTCTCCCTACACAGGTCATCGTACAGGGAGACCAAGGCAGATTCAGTACCGTACCTGGGTCTGAAGCCAGACTGAAATGGGTCCAGATAATCAGTTTCATCCAAGAGTGCTTGGAGTTGTCCCGCCACCATCCGCTCCAATACCTTGCCCAGAAATGGGATGTTGGCCACTGGTCTATAATTAGTGGCCATCTCTGGATCCAGTGACGCCTTCTTCAGGACCAGTCAGACTACCACCTCCTTTAAAGGGACAGACACCCGGCCCTCCCTCAGAGAGGCATTAACCACTTCCAAGATCCAGGTCCCTATCCCATGCTTGGCATTGTTAATTAGCCAAGATGGGCAAGGGTCCAATAGGCAGGTGGTGGGACATACTCGTCCAAGCAACTTGTCCACATCATCAGGCTGCAGTAACTGAAATGCATCCATCAATTTTGGACCAGACGGCGACATTGGTATCTCCCCAGAAGCCTCTGAATCACTAGTGGAGTCCAGCTCGTGACGAATCTGAGCGATTTTCTCCCTGAAATGCTTGGCAAAGTCGTCACAGCGGGCCTTCAAGGGTGGAACCGGATCTTTCTTAGGGCCAGGATGAACCAGGCCTTGTACCACCCGAAAAAGCTCTGCCAGATAGCATTGTGAGGAGGCAATGGAAACAGAGAAGAATTTCTTTTTCTCCGCCCTCACTGCCACAGCATAGGCCCGATAATGGGCTCTTAAGTGTGTTCGGTCAGACTCATCCCGTGATTTCCTCCACCTACGCTCTAGATGTCTCCCAGCCCACTTCATCCCCCACAATTCAGGTGTATACCAAGGGGAAGAGTGGGCTCTGCCTGGTGGGAGAGGACACTTAGGAGTGATCGTGTCAATAGCCCTGGTCATTTCCCCATTCCATAGTTCAACCAGAGCCTTGACAGGAGCACCAGTCTTGTCAGCCGGAAACTCCCCCAGGGCCTTCAGGAATTCATCCAGAACCATTCGGCTCCGGAGGCGGACCCACACAATCAGGTCCACACCCTTACAGAGGGAAAGGCCACTCTTGAGCACAAACCTCATGAGGAAGTGATCTGACCATGACAGGGGTGTGAGACATAAATTCCTCACCCTCAGAACACCCTCTTCCTGCCCCGTCGAGAAAACCAGGTCCAAAGTGTGTCCACATTCATGGGTGGGGCTGGTGACATGTTGAGACAGCCCCATGGCCGTCATGGAGGCCATGAAGTCCTGAGCCGCCCCGGTCAGACCAGTCTCGGCATGGAGATTGAAGTCCCCCAGGACTAACATCCTGGGGGTCCTCAACACCAAATCCGAGATGATCTCTGTCAGCTCAGGCAGGGAGACTATTGGGCAGAAGGGTGCACGGTACACCAACAGAATCCCCAGTCTGTCTCAGTCGCCCAACATCAAGTAGAGGCACTCTAGCCTCGGCCTCGAAGGGACTGGAAGCCCCGTGAGGGAGATGGAGGCTCGGTAAACCAAAGCAACCCCCCTCCCCTCCCCTCACCTCCAGGCATGGACGTGCTGAACCAGATACCAGATACAGGTAGCTCAACCGTCGACGTGACCAGGGACGACTCCATAAAAACAGATTAAAATACAATAAAATTATTAAAACAATGTAAAACTCCCCATCTACCCCCCTCCCGATATAAAATTCCACCCACCGACAAAGTCCCTCACCAGCCAGCCCAGCCCCCGCACGGCCATGAACGGCCACAAACGGTGGCAACCGCCCTTTGGCCGTCACCCTTTGGCCTAATATGTTATGCAGAAGACACTACTAGGAATGTACAAGATCTGCACAGTTCTTCTGACAGTCTCTTAAAACCAATACAGCCATGAACTTTACAGAGGGGAACCAGTAATTTTTGTTTGAAGAAATTACAGGGAAAATGGTTAATTAGCTGAGAAACAGGAACAATTTTAATTTCAACAGCCTGCTTTTGATAGTTCTAAGTCTCGAGACAGAGTTCTTATAGTGGTTTTAGCCATTAGCTAGAAGCACTGAAATGCGGATATACATATAGCTGTGCTTCTGGGTGGCAGCAATTAATGGCAATCCATACATATTTCCCCATTCCCCTGCCTCACAGATGACTGAGGTGTGAGATGATTTGCGTTGCATTTAGTTTATACATTTATCCATGAGCAAGATAATATGAGTCACTAGATCAGAAGCATGAAATGTGGGAGCGTAAGTCACTTGCACTTCCCCTTTTATAGCATTTTTGGACGATGCCTGAAGGGGCTCTCATTGTCTTTGCATCTGTAATTAAAAAGGGCCAGCCTAAGATATTTTGCTGCCTGAAGCAGAGTAGCAAATACCCTACCTACCTCAATTCAAGCGTTCTAGTACTCAAAGCTGAGCAAGTTATTTTGGCCCTTAAGACAGAAGATCTTTCAAGTGTCTCCCAATTCTCAGCAGTAAACATGGAATAATAAAAAATTACATGATCTACAATTGGCTGCCCTTTCAGAACAGCTCAGATCAGTTGCCTGAGGCATTCACCTCATTCTGCCTAATGGTAGGGTTCACCTAATTAGCTACCTATAATTACAAGTGATAGGCAGTTCTGGCTTTATCAAATTTCAAGATTCGGCCTCAATTTATTACCCACAGATTGCACTGGACTCCAAGGCTGTCCCCTTGCTTATATTGGCCATTCTGGCCTTTCATTATTTTTATTTAAATCATGGTAGACTAGAGGCCTTTTACAACATACTCCTAATTTTCTATGAAGTCTATACATAAGCTTGAACATCCCTGCCTTCCCTCTTATGGTTGCTTATGGTCATTCTTCTCACGCAGAAATGAAATGCCTTTCAATATGATAAATAGTTTTAACAAGAATGAGTGTTCTGAAGGCTAAATTGACCTATGTTTCTCCATGCAGCTGACCGATAAGTTCTGATATGATAACCGCTACCTCCTGTGTTTGAAGATAGCTAATTCTTCAACACTTCAGGGCCCCAGATACACTGCAAAGGAGGCTTGAGGCAGAAACTAGAGATGGTAGAAATTCTGAAAACATACTTCCTGAAATTGTGATGTCAGTAATGAAAAATGGACTCCAAGATCATGGAAACCTGAGAATATTGAGGAGGACAAATGTAAAGTGCCAAAGATCTTGGCCTTCTGTACCTGTATGACAGCAAACGGGGGGGGTCTGGTGACAAAATGAACAAAGCCATTGGAAACTGATAAAAAGGGAGGAGCAGACCCATATTTGAGTTTAGAAAGAGCATAACCTTTGAAGGGCCAAGGACTTGTGAATTTACTTACAAAACAGAAGAAACTCTCAGAACGTCCTAGAAGCTCTAGGAAGATGTGTTTCTCCACATGGCTAAAAGGAGGAAACTAAGTTAATAACTAGCCATGATGACAGAAGATCTGCAAGTTAAATTATGGGCTACTATTGGAATCCTATGAAGTGAACAGGGCTGCACCCTTATGCCTGCAGGAATAATGCTGGGTCAACAACGTCCCTACCATGAATTTGGACAGACAAGCCACACATCCACGGTGCCTCCATCTTGACTGGATTGAATTTCATCCAGTCACTGAGCAGGAGTGGAAGCTCTACAAAAGCAGTGCCTCCAGTCCCTACCACAGACAAACTGGTTCAGAAGGATGTAATGGTCAATAGTGGTGAAATTTACTGCAGGGAAGTTAAAGAGAATGAACAGAATCTCAGCCTCTTGTAAATTTTTCATGGCAGATGTCTTCCCACAGGATGATCAAAGCCATTTCAGTTGCAAAACAATCCCTAAACCCAGAAAGAAATTGTTCTAGCAAATTAGATTCATCCAAGAGTTTGGAGTTGCCTAGCAACCATGTATTCAAGTCCTCATCCAATGAAGGGCATGTTCATTACTGGCTTATAGCTGTTAATTTCTTCTAAGGTTTTATCAACAGTGGTCAGATCATTGCCTCCTGCAGGAGAGTTGCTGCTATTCCTATTCTCAAGGAGATACCACTTGGACCAGCCAGAATTATTTCCTTATTAGATGTAATAAGGCACCTTTCTTTGAAATGTTGTCAGTTTCCTCCTATTTTCTTGTAATTGGTACTGATCAGTACTGAGTAGCACACTGTAACCCAACAACTTATTCTAGAGTTCTCTCTAGCTGTTGTTACCATACTGAAACCACTTCTGTATGGTAACAACAGCTCCCCATGGGGGCTATAATGTCTCAGAGGTGCTCATACTCTACACTAGCCCTCCCCAACCTGGTGCCTCCGGATGTTTTAGACTTCCAAGAGTCCTACTGATTAGCCATGCTGGCTGGGGCTGATGGAATCTGAAGTTCAAACTGCCTCAAGGGCACTACACTGGGAAATGCTTCTACAGAGCCTGGCTCCTCACATCCTAGCAAGTGGCTGGGACTAGTGTAAAGATATTCCATGCAATGCAGATTCATATTTGCCACATTAAATATTTCCTTTGACCCCTAGATCCCTGGTATTAGTCAGAATTAGAAATTTCAGGAGTGTATCACTGACCCTAATTTGTGTCTCTTGCCTCTCATTAACATCTATAGGACATTACATCATCAGTTTCCCTACAGGTTGGAGATGAGAAGGCCTGGGAAAGCTGAAAATTGCAGGGGGGAAAATGGGGCTTTTCTTTAAAAAAATAAAATAAAATCCCCCCCCCCTTTTTTTTACAAGTTTGTTTTCCCTTGGTCTTCACATCTCTGCTGCAGGTAGCAGGCAGTTAAGTGGAATAGCAGCAAGGAAACAAATCCTGATAGTTTCCATGTCATCTTTCACTCAGTGTTACTGGACAAATATGAAGAACAGACCCTATCATATCAGACTAGAGCTTCAGTTTCTCATTTGCACAATTGATGAGTTTTCTGCACTTAAGGGAAGTACAAAAAGATCATGCATACAAGCACTTTAGAAATAATTAACACCTTTTCTTGCTCCTAGGCATGCCCTTTGAAACAACCATTGCTATTTGCTCTATGATTATGGGAGGAGTTTTTGAAATTTTCCCCAAGCTGCGAGTCTGTTTTGCCCATGGAGGTAAGTGTCGGACAAGCGTATGACTGCAAGAAACCTCAAAGCAAATAAACACAACTTTTCACTCTGAGGTGTGCTAGTCAAAAAAGCTATAGAAAATCGTGAAGTTCAGAATGTATATGCTGCTAAAAACCAATTTCTAGGGAAGCAAAGTGGGGCAGCCTCATTGCTTTCATGTCTTGTTCCTGGACTTCCCAGAGACACCTGTTTGATCCTTCTAGGGAAATAGGCCACTTGTCTTGATAGAACAAGCAAGGCTTCCATAAGCAATACACTCTCTGTTTATTTATTTGTTTATTAAATCATTATAAAATGATATAAACCTGAGGAAGATATTAACTGGGAAGATCTGTTTGCAAGATTATCAGGCCCATTTGAGATCTGAGAGCATGTGTGACAAACACTGAAGAACATCTGCTAATGAAGAGAGGATAATTCCTGCAGTAGCCTTCAAAGAAAAGAACTAAAGTCTGAATGGTGGTAGTGAAGCCTGATAGGGGAATTTGCTTAAGTCTGACTAGGGTTAGCAATGGGAATGGTCATATTTGTGCAAAGGAGATTAAAAAGGTTTTTAAAGTTCATTTATACACATATGTCATCTTCTTAAATCGACAGCCATAGGCAAACCCACCAAGGTGCTGCAGGAAGTAGTTAATCTGCAATCTTGGGTGAGGAGGAGAAGCAGGGCAAAAATGCTGCAGGGAGCCCAAAGGGGCTTGCAACAGTGGGAAGTGGGTGGGTGGGAGGGCTCTTTCTTTCCAGGGTGTCCTGTCGGCTGACTGAGGGGTCCAGTACCTGATTGTGTGCCTTATCTGTGGGGCATATCATGGGGTCTCAGGTGATTCACCCACGCCCCCTGACTTGTGATGTGGTGTGCATCGCCATGTCGTTTGAACTGGCAGCTGACCATAAAGGCAACCTTGTTCCATGCTCGACAGGAAAGAAGAATTTCATGGCTCCGAGAGGGGCAAAGTCTGGAGAAGAAACTGGGGGGTCAGCTGAGCCATCAGGGGAATGGTTGAGGTGCTACTGGTTTCACAGGCCTCATAGGGGGCAGCTGGAGGCACTTCTGCACTAAAGTGAAAGAAGATACAGCAGGAATTTTAAAAGATAGTTAGAGGGGAACACAGAAAACGTATGAATGGGGGAAGGAGACTGCACTGTAGGTGAAAGACGTTTCTTTTTACAGATATCACAATATAATTCAGCTGAATCTAAAGCTGCTATTACATTGAGATGTTTTCTGGCTTTTTAATACTAATTAGTCAAGAGGGAATAGTATAACATTTGCTCTGCAGTAATCACACATTCTCTTGTTAAAGCTGCAGTTGAATTTTAATTCTTCACTACTTGCTGTTTGTGTGATTAAAATAAGAATTATAATTGTTCCTTTTGTTCTGATTCATTTTTGGAGCGACATCCTAGGAAAATAATACATAAGGATATTCAAAGATAACATCCTGTCCTTTCCATGTGGAAGCAAAAGAGCAGCCATCTTGAAAACATGTTAGAGTGCTCACAGATTGCCACAAGATGATCTTATGAAATATGCATTTTTATTTCATTCTACCAAAAGCCATGATAATCTGCATTAGGATGGGGGATTACCATACATTTACTAAACATAGATGATATAGGAAACACACTCTGCTGCCATTTCTTGAATTCTTATTACTGTATTTCAAAGCAACAAAACTTTGAAAACACTGATCAGAAGTGATAATCCTGTTGAGAAATCTAAACCTCAGTCAATTAATTATAATTCTTACCTTGCTGATCCCAACTGGGATTACTCCTAAAAGACTCTTTGGCTGGTTGGTTAATTGGTTAGATTTTTATTTTTATTTCCTTTAAGGAGTTCCGGATAGCATACATGGCTTCTTCTGTTCTACCTTCACTACAACCCTGTGAGAAGAAACTGAGAAAGCCTGACTAACCAGGGATTAGTATACTAATATTTTAATGGTCATAACAAAAGAGGTTGTTATTATTACACATTTCCAGCATCAAAGCTTTCCTTCACTAAGGATGCAAGCCTATGCATGTCTAGACAGAAAAAGTTGTAGGATTTTTTCCCTATCTAAATATGCATTGGATTGGACCTTAATGCAGTTATACTAATAACAATATACTCCACGAATAAAGAAAAAAAATTAAATTGATGTAGTTAAAAACAAGCCAATAATGCATATTGACAGAGCTGACAAAGTAATAAACTTGCTTAATTAGGAAGTGGCCCTTAATTCAACTGTAGTCAACTTTCTAGTTAGTTCAGCAAGTTTGACTTCCAGAGGAGAAAAAAACGGTTATTATCCTGCATAGTAGGGTAAAGATGTGTTACCTGAAAGTGATATTATCCACTTAAAAAAAGCATTCACATATGAAAATTAAACCAGAAGAATGAGGCAAATTCTCAATTGAGTTTATCAATCTAAAAGATTAGAAATGTATTCCAGTAGTATACCCAACAAAAGTGATATGGTTGAGCCTTGACATAAAATCACATTGAAGAGGTGAGATTTTGCTTTAATTCAAAATGTTCTAACCTAGGAGTTATTCCTACTGACTTAAGTGGAACTTCTGAGTACGAATGCAGACAATCACTCTATAAAGAGACTTTTTTTTAATGCACAGCAAAACCAGGAATACTAGCCAAAACAACCACAACCAGCATTTTGCTATATCCAGAATATTGCTTGTCCTAAACTGTAAGTGCCAGGCTGTGCCACTTTTCATCTTCCATGGAAGCCACGAAGGGTGGGGCATCCCTTGCTGTTCCAAAGCTAGCCATCCCACCTGCCACTGCTGAGTAGCAGTTACCTAAATGTGGAAGGGATACTAGTATATTTTCTTCTTTGTAATGCACTTTTAGTTTATGGAATCATAGAAGAGTAGAAGTGGAAGGGGCCAAAATGCCATCAGGTCCAACACCCTACTCAGTGCAGGACACCAAGTTAACCCATCCCTCTTGGACGGATGTCTATCTTGAATGCCTCTAGTGTGGGAGAGTCCACAACCTCCCAGGTAACTGGTTCCATTGCTGGACTGCTCTAACAGACAGGATTTTTTTCCTGAAATCTAGCTGGAATCTGGCTTCCTCCAATCTGAGCCCATTATTCTGTGTCCTGCACTCTGGAATGATCAAGAAGAGACCCTGGCCTTCCTCTTTGTGACAGCCTTTCAAGTTCTTGTATAGTGCTATCATATTTCTCCTCAGTCTTCTGTCAGGCCAAGCAGACCCAGTTCTCTTAATCACTCGCACAGGGCTTTGTTTCCAGTCCAGATCAACCTTGTAATCCTCCTCTAAATACTCTCCTACTTGTCCACATCTTTCTTCAACTGTGATGCCCAGAACTGAACATTACTCCAGCTGTGGCCTAATCAGTACTCAGTTAAGTGGAACTAGTACTTCATGGGATTTGGAAGTGATACTTTTATTAATGCACCCTAACATAGCATTTACCCTTTTTGCAGCCACATCACATCATTTGAAAGTGACTACCCATTCATTAAATAAATTTACACAGATGCATCTGTTTGGTACAACTCCCAGATTTCCACCCACCCCCGCTGCCCCTGTCTAGGAATCAACCATATAAATTTGGCCTAAATGTAGAGAATTTTATTTCCAGCTTGGAATGGTTCAGCAGAGACATAGACAACCAGGAAAAGAATGGGTGGGGAAAGTTCTAGGCAAAGGGCAAGAGCAGACCTTTCAAGCATCTTTGAACTAGTCAGGAGTGTAAGGAAATAGCTCTTAAGAACAAGGATAGGAAGGTGGGAATTATGCAAAAAAATCCCAGGTTCAATCTCCAGTTTCATAACCCCATTAACACCTTCATAACATTGTGTGTGTGTGTGTGTGTGTGTGTGTGTGTGTGTGTACATGCGTGTGTGCATGGTTCGTTCATTTATTCATCCATTCAAACCAATTATAATTGTAAAAATAATATACATTTCTTGTTAGGTGGCTCTTTTCCTTACACACTGGGACGTATTTCCCATGGATTCAATGTGCGGCCTGACCTGTGTGCAGTTGATAACAACATAGATCCAAAGAAATACCTTGGTTCATTCTATACAGACTCATTGGTCCATGATGCACATGCACTGAAGCTGTTGGTAAATATAGTAGGCAAGGTAAGATCATGCTTTGCACATTAAAAGCCTTCTTTGCCCATATCCCAGTCTAGATCTGAATACCATTTATACTTAAGAGAAACAGTCCCACTTTTGCTAATTGCTTGAATGATATCATATCTATTTCAAACCATGGAGAGAAGGAAGTCACGGTGTGCCTTCCTTCCTTCCTTCCTTCCTTCCTTCCTTCCTTCCTTCCTTCCTTTCTTTCTTTGGGCATCACCTTGTTTAACCTTCAAACAATCCCTACAGACCTGGTTTGGATGACATGACAAGCCATGGCAACCTCCTACCAAGAATGTAATATTTAACTTGGCTGCCAGCACCATAGGCTGCAATGATATTGATAACAGGCCCAGTGTTTATTCTCCCTGACATACCCCAGTCTTTGATTCTCCTGCCCTGTTTTCCAGACTGGAAGATGAGTGAAGAGGCAGTGTGGTGTGGTGGTTAACAGTGCATGACTGGGACTCAGGAGATCTGGGTTCTAGTCTCTGCTTGGCCATGGAACCAACTGGGTGACTTTGGGCCAGTCACACGGTCTCCATCCAACCTACCTCACAGGATTGATGTTATGAGATTAAGATTATTATAACAATTTATAAAAATAAATTATTTTATAAATAAATGGTTATTAAATAATGTAAATACATAATGGATAAATAACTAATTGTATAAATACAATAAATAAAAGAAAGATCAGTATGAGGGCTTGCCATATACAGAAGGCACTTTGATAATGCTGTCTAGGTTCTCCCTTGCAGTTCTGTTTTCCAGTTCAGCAATGACAAATGGTAGAAGAAGGTGGTCTTGGCATTTTCCAGTAGTCTTCTTGGCCTGAATCTCAGTCTGTTGATTGCCCTGCCATTATGTGCAATTGTTGATCAGAGAACTATAATAAATACATGTGATCCATTTCACTCCTCATTTATTCCTTTTCAGATGAGATGATACAATTGTGATTAGTTTGGGTCTTTGATTGTGGCTGATTATCACTTAAGCAGTAGGACTCCTTGGAGAACTGGTAGTTAAAATTTTATGGTCAGGTGGGAAATGCTGAAGCACCATTGAACACGCAGTGACAAATTGTACCTAGCTTATTTTAATTCTGAATATCATTTACTATTGGAAGAGTTTTATGAGTCCTTTTTTCCATGAGAATAATTGCAACTTTCAAATAATCTCCAAACATGGTGGAAATCTCCAGACATGCTGGGCCTCCTCCCACTTCCTGTGCCTGCAATCACCCTGCCATCATGACTATGGGCAGAGCAGGGACATATTATACTGGGGCTCCTCCTTGGCTGGAGGCAAGTAGGAGGAGGCCCAGATGAATATGCTGCCTCACTCCTGCCTACAGCTCCACTTACTCCACAGGGGACCTGCTTTCCCCTTGTTTGGTACTGGCACTGCTGAAGCCAAGCAATGGGATGGGCTGCCTAGCCTGCCTTGTCAGCTCGGTTGCAAGGCAGCTTGTGTCCCTGCACCCTCTGTACCAAGAAGTGTACAGGGCTGGGAAATGAATGACAGTTGTCAAAAGTGCTCATTTCTGACAGCTGTCATCCTGCTCCACTGAGTGCTCCAGCACAGTGTCCCCTGGAGGACTGAGGACAAAGAGCATGTGTTCCAAAGAAGGGTGATAGAAGTGTGGTTCCTCAAGGAGCACATTTCTAACTCCTAGTGAGCCAAGTGTATATGGATGCACTAGAGAAAGGGGAAGAGCGCTCCAAGGAAGAAACAGTGCTGGGCCTGGATACTTTGAATGGGGGATTGTGAGGTTTTGGAGAAGGGGCCTAGAGTGAATTGAGGGATTTGGAGGAAAAATGCATAGAGAGGCATAAAGGGGGTAACAGAGTGCCAAAGTGCCAGAGGGCTTACTATCGCCAAGCGAAAGCCCCTGGCGGGGCTGGCCAGGGGCTTTCGCTTGGCAATAGTAGGCCCTCCTGCTGGGCTGTGAGTGAGGGTGTTTTTTTTTTTTTTAGTAGTATTTTAAATCTTTTTATGGAGTTGTCCCTGGCCATGCTGCCGCTTATGTTTCCTGGGGAGCGCACGGGTGCCGCCATTGAGGTGGTTATGGGCAGGGGACATAACAGCATTGGGAGCTTAACGTGTCCGCATAGAAGAAGGAGGGACAGATGGCTGACACCTGTCCCTACTTCTGGTTTTGCTCCCAGCCAGAGGGTGCCAGGGAGTCTCGTCAGTCGCCCCTCTGGCCTGACGGTGCTGTTGCTTAATGCCAGGTCGGTCAATAACAAATCTGCCCTCATCCAGGACCTGATTGTGGATGAGGGGGCCGACCTGGTCTGCATAACGGAGACCTGGGCGGGAGAGGGGGGGGGATGTTGCCCTCTCCCAAGTGTGCCCGCCCGGGTATCTGGTCCAGCACTGCTCACAGCCGGAGGGGAGGGGAGGGGGGGTCACTTTGGTTTACCGAGCCTCCATCTATCTCACGGGACTTCCGGTCCCTTCGAGACCAGGGCTGGAGTGTCTCTACTTGGTGTTGGGCGACCGAGACAGACTGGGGATTCTGTTGGTGTACCATGCACCCTTCTGCCCAACAGTCTCCCTGCCTGAGCTGATGGAGACTGTCTCGGACCTGGTGTTGAGGACCCCCAGGATGTTGGTCCTGGGGGACTTCAATCTCCATGCAGAGGCTAGTCTGACCGGGGCAGCTCAGGACTTCATGGCCTCCATGACAGCCATGGGGCTGTCTCAACATGTCACCGGCCTGACCCATGAACGGGGACACACTCTGGACCTGGTTTTCTCGACGGGGCAGGAAGAGGGTGGTCTGAGGGTGAGTAATTTATGCTTGACTCTCCTGTCATGGTCAGATCAGTTCCTGGTGAGGTTTATGCTCAAGAGCGACTTCTCCCTCTGTAAGGGTGCGGACCCGATTATGTGGGTCCGCCCCCGGAGCCGGATGGATCCAGAAGGATTCCTGAAGGCCCTGGGGGAGTTTCCGGCTGACAAGACGGGTGCTCCTGTCGAGGCTCTGGTCGAACTGTGGAATGGGGAGATGACCAGGGCTGTAGACACGATCGCTCCTAAGTGTCCTCTCCCACCAGGCAGAGCCCGCTCTTCCCCTTGGTATACTCCTGAATTGAGGGCGATGAAGCAGGTTGGGAGACGACTAGAGCGTAGGTGGAGGAAATCATGAGATGAATCTGACCGAACACACTTAAGAGCCCACTATCGGGCCTATGCTGTGGTGGTGAGGGCGGCAAAAAAGAGATTCTTTTCCGCTTCCATTGCCTCCTCACAATGCCGTCCGGCGGAGCTCTTTCGAGTGGTGCAAGGCCTGGTTCGTCCAGGTCCAAAGGAAGACCTGATTCCACCCTCAAAGGCCCGCTGTGACGACTTTGCCAGGCATTTCAGGGAGAAAATCGCTCAGATTCGTCACGAGCTGGACACCACTATTGATTCAGAGGTTTCAAAGGAGACACCAACGCTGCAGTCTGGTCCAGATTTATTGGATGAATTTCAGTTACTGCGGCCTGATGACGTGGACAAGGTGCTTGGGCGAGTACGTCCAACCACTTGCCTTTTGGACCCTTGCCCGTCTTGGTTAATAAATGATTCCAAGCACGGGATTGGAACCTGGATCTTGGAAGTGGTTAACGCTTCTCTGAGGGAGGGTCAGGTGCCTGCCCCTTTGAAGGAGGCAGTAGTCCGACCGGTCCTGAAGAAGGCGTCATTGGATCCAGAGATGGCCACTAATTATAGACCAGTGGCCAACATCCCGTTTCTGGGCAAGGTGTTAGAACGAGTGGTGGCGGGACAACTCCAAGCACTCTTGGATGAAACTGATTATCTGGACCCATTGCAGTCCGGCTTCAGACCCGGGTCCGGTACTGAATCTGCCTTGGTCGCCCTGTACGACGACCTGTGCAGGGAGAAGGACAGGGGGAGTGCGTCCCTGTTGGTTCTTCTGGACCTCTCAGCGGCTTTCGATACCATCAACCATGGTATCCTTCTGGATAGGCTTGCGGGATTGGGGGTCGGAGGCACTGCTTTGCAGTGGTTCCGCTCCTATCTCAATGGCCGGTTCCAGAAGGTGGTGCTGGGGGACTATGGCTCTGCGCCATGGCAGCTATGCCATGGAGTACCGCAGGGGTCCATTTTGTCCCCTTTGCTGTTCAACATATACATGAAACCGCTGGGAGAGGTCATCAGGAGGTGTGGGCTGCGGAACCATCAGTACGCTGATGATACCCAGCTCTACCTCTCGTTTTCCACCAATCCAGGTGAGGCAGTGGCTGTGCTGAACCGGTGCCTGGCCGAGGTAATGGGCTGGATGAGGGCCAATAAACTGAAGCTCAATCCAGACAAGACGGAGGTCCTGTTGGTTGGCGGTTCTGGCTTCGGAGAGGGTGAATTGAACCTTGTCCTGAACGGGGTTGCACTCCCTCTTAGGGACAAGGTCCGCAGCTTGGGAGTGCTCCTCGACCCAGAGCTTTCACTGGAAGCTCAGGTAACAGCAGTGGCGAGGAGCGCTTTCCTCCAGCTTCGGCTGATTCATCAGCTGCGCCCCTATCTGGAGAATGACTGCCTTGCGACAGTGACACATGCGCTGGTGACTTCCCGTCTGGACTTCTGTAACGCGCTCTATGTGGGGCTACCCTTGAAGACAGTCCGGATACTTCAATTGGTCCAAAATAGAGCTGCCAGGCTGCTGACGGGGACTGGACGTTATGTTCACATGACTCCAGTTTTCTGTCAGCTTCACTGGCTTCCCATTGAAGTCCGGGCCCAATTCAAGGTGTTGGTAATGACCTATAAAGCCCTAAACGGCTTGGGTCCTGGTTACCTGAAGGAGTGCTTACATCCTTATATGCCCAGCCGCCCCCTGAGATCGGCGGGAGAGGCCCTTCTCCGGGAGCCCTCCATGGAAGAAGTTAGGAGGGTGGGTACTCGGAGGAGGGCTTTCTCAGCGGTGGCGCCTAAGTTATGGAATGCGCTCCCCAGAGAGGTCCGCCTGGCGCCGTCGTTATTTGTTT